TTGATCGGCGCGAGCGCGACGATTCTAGGGAATGTGAAGATAGGGGATGGGGCGAAGATCGGGGCCGGATCGGTGGTGTTGATTGATGTGCCGCCGAGGACGACGGCGGTTGGGAATCCGGCGAGGTTGGTTGGCGGGAAGGAACGGCCGTCGCAGCTTGAGGATGTGCCTGGCGAGTCCATGGACCATACTTCGTTTATGTCCGAGTGGTCTGACTATATTATATGAGAATGAGAGTTGTGAACTTGTGATAGTTATGTTAGTTGTTTATCGTTATGCTTATGACGAAGCATTATTACATTCTCAAAACATTAAAACTTTGATATCTTCTTCTTTTTAAAATGAGATTATCTAAACCTTGTTGAGCCTTGGATTAGAGCATTGGACAATCAAAAAGGCAGAGAGCTTAGCTTAGTAATACTAAACATTTTATGGAGGGAAGGTTTAGGGTGAACTTTCCACAAAAGTCGATTTCTACCATGTCCAAGTTTGTTTAGCATCTAAATAATAAATGATCCAATTAAGTGAAAGAATGAATGAACAAATTAAAAGTAAATAGACTTTGACAAGAGTTGAATTTCAAGACCAAAGATCTTTTGCGAAGGTAGATTGTGCAAATGTCGCTGGGCATTGGTACCATGTGGGTTCGAAATTAGTTTGTAACTAAAGGCCTTTTTAATTGGGCTAGATCCAGTCGGCTTGCCTCTAATCGCATTGACGAGTCATTCTATAGTGAGGGCCTTGTATATGACTCTTAGATGAAGTTCTATATCTTAACTGTTGAATTAGAGACTAATTTAATCAAATGATTAATCAATTTAATTCAACAGTTAAAAAATAAGCCCTTAACTAAGAGCCATATAAGGCCCTCACAATAGAACTCTTGCTGCATCCATTGACATGGCTTTGAGTGAGCAAAGCCCACATTGACCAATGACCCAATTATCCCATCACTCCACATCTTCTTCCCTCTTTCTGCTTTTCCAATAGTAGCAGAGTTTTAGCAGATCAATGGCTTCTCTGACTTCTTCTCTTCAGCCAACTGGAAACTCCATTATCTCTTTTCGTTTCAGAGCTCGGATAACTCCAAGCCCTCCTGATAAGCTCTATCTCAACACCACTCTTCCTTCGGTCCTCAAAACCACACCTTCCTCTTCCTTCAATCCCACCCCATCCAAACCTCTCTGCACCAATGCAGTTCCCAGTGCCAATAATCCCAGAGTACATCGCCGCAACACTGGCTCCTCTCAGCCCCAACCAACAACATCTCGCTCCAATTCCCAGTACAAGACCCAACCTTTACGCAAGGGCAACAAGTACCAGAGCCAGCAACCAAATGAACCAACAGCGAACGGTGAAGAGTTAAACAACCAAAATGTGAGTCCCCCATTGCGTATTAACACAAAAGATGTGGATTTGATGCGTTTGTGCAAGGAGGGTAAGGTCAAAGAGGCGTTGCAGTATATGGCTCAAGATGTTTCCGCTGATTATGGTGTATTTTGTGTGTTATTGGACTCGTGTGACAGCTCGAAGTCGCTTGAGGTTGGGAAAAAGATTCATGATTTTATGAAACAGTCGCCATTTCGCGGAGATATTGAGTTGAACGCTAAATTGATTCAAATGTATGGAAGATGTGGGAGTATGAGAGACGCACGCAAGGTGTTCGATCGAATGCCTGAGCAGAGTATGAGTTTGTGGCATTCAATGATACATGGGTATGCGGTGAATGGGCAGGGTGATGAGGGGCTGCTGTTGTTTGAACAAATGAGGAATTTAGGATTGAAGCCCAATAAGGAGACATTTGTAGTGGTTTTGGCGGCATGTGCTAGCGCGGAAGCTGTGGAAGAAGGGTTAACTTACTTCGAGTCGATGAAGAATGAGTATGAGATTGTGCCGGAGATTGAGCATTATTTAGGGCTTATTGATGTTCTTGGAAAGTCTGGTCATTTGAATGAGGCAGAGGAATTCATTGAGAAAATGCCATTTGAGCCTACTGCAGAAGTTTGGGAGGCTCTTCGAAACTTTGCACGGATTCATGGAGACATTGAGCTTGAAGATCGCGCTGAGGATTTGTTGGTTAGTCTCGATCCTTCTAAGGCCAATGCTGAAAAAATCCCATTGCCTCCGCGGAAGAAGCACTCTGAGATTAACATGCTAGAGGAGAAGAATAGGGTCAGTGAGTATCAGATTACAAACGAGGCATATGAGAAACTGAAGGGTTTGAAAGGACAGATGAGGGAAGCAGGCTATGTGCCAGATACAAGATATGTGCTTCATGACATTGATCAGGAGGCAAAAGAGCAGGCCTTGCAGTATCACAGCGAGCGTTTGGCAATTGCTTATGGTCTGATCAGTACTCCAGCCAGGCAAACTCTGAGGATAATTAAGAATCTTCGAATATGCGGCGACTGCCATAATGCAATAAAAATCATGTCAAAGATCGTTGGGAGGGAGCTGATCGTTAGGGATAACAAGCGGTTCCATCATTTCAAGGATGGGAAATGCTCCTGTGGGGATTACTGGTAAACTTATCAGCAGCTAGTGCATACAGCTTCTCTACAAGAGTCGAGGCTGTGGTGCTACGTTATGTAATGTTCAATGTGCAGCAAGAAAAATCAAAGGAAGTTTTTGGCTGGAAATTAACTTTGTAGTTTTTTTTATGAATATCTTTTCTTGTACATTAATCTTGTATTTAAATTCAATTACATTCAATAGAAAACAAATTTACGATTATGTTTCTGTTTGCTTGCTGATTGATTCTCTGATTTATTTCTGAAAGCATAATCTGGTCGAGTGTTTTCAATATTAAGCAACCATGGTTCAAAAGTTGGGAGGTGCCTTGTATGATTCCTTTTTGCATCTTTCATCTTTTACCTAAAATGGCATCCGCTTCTGGGGCCTGTGCCATTAGTGAAGAATGAATTCCTTTTTCGCCTTTTATTCCCAGGAAAAGAAAAAGGCAAAAATGGAATCTGCTTCCGGGGGGGCAGTGGTAAATAAAACATTGAACAGATGCATTTCAAGTTCTTAAGCCAATATCTTAAAGAGACAAGAAAAGCTAGTAAGATTACTCAAACCTTATTATTCAATTAAGAACGATTACAGGGGTCAAAATTCTCCATATGTACATTGCAAGAGAATCGTCTCTCCTAAATATACAAGGTAGCCTAATTGATGATTTCTGCTAACTTAATCAATGAAACTAGAGCTTGTAGGATGTGTAAGGGAGGGGTTTAACCTACCGAGGGGCTATTATTCAGCTCCAAAGAATGAAATGTACAGCTGAAAATGGCATGAATGGTACAAAAAGTCAACCTAATTGACAATTCAAAAGGGAAGGAAAAGCTCCCAATCAATTGTGCAGGACTGTTACTTGAAGTGAAAAATTGGAAGAAAAAGTAACTAGGAGTGAAGGGAGGATGGATGGGTATTTCTTTTGTTGGTTACCAATTTTGTCACGGCTTCATCCCTTGAAGGAACTCGAAGGTAGGACTTCATAACATCGTAAACTGTAAACCCGATTGCTACAGATGGTACGACCTGAATTACAACATCCCAAAACATGATTAGACAAGAAAGCCAAGGGATTTTCTGTGAAAAGACTGACTAGGTTTTTACCACCTTCAAGTAATTGATGCTAAGTCCTGAAAATAATTGCTTCCATCCTTGCTTCTGAGCGATCATGACAAGGACTTCCATTGTCCCTTTCATCTCTGGACTGTTTGATGACACGATTCGTTGAACCTATTCAGATGATTTTCACCCATCAATGTCACAAATTTTCTGTCAAATAGTATTTTAAGGACCCTTATAAAGTACATTACCTGCATTTGCCTCCTCACCACATCGAGGGGATATGTAAAAGTCTGACCTAATAGACCAGCAACAGAACCACATACAAGTTTGACCATAATACTCTTCTTGTGCTCCTGAGGGACATGGCGCTTCATCTCCTCATAGAAGTAAAACTTCAAACCGGCATATGGGAAGATTCCATAAAGTGATGGAGCTGATAATGATGTTAATGCGTTAAATGCAAAATTGTTGCAAACATCTTAACAACTATAGAAACACACAATGACAGCAGTGGATGATACAAGCAGTTTTCAAATCCATACCAACACCGCGATAGAGGCCTCTAAGTCCAGCCTCTCTGTAAGTCTTTGAGAAACAATCAAGAATTCCTTTATAAATTTGTCCAGTATTTACCACCCCTTGAACATTTAACTTCGGTGAACCAACAACCTGCAAAACAAACATGGCTTCTGTCAAAAAAAAGTTTCTTGGAAGTGTAAAGAGCAACTAATTCATGCACTTGAGTGAGAGATTTTTCACGATTCAATTAGTTACCTGATAAGCCAACTTAGTCCGAACTAAATCAAGAGGATAAGTAAAAAGCACAGCTGTTCCTCCAGCAAAAGACCCTGCCACAAGATCTAGACCAGGTCCACGCCCCACGTCAGGAAAGGTGAGAATAATCCATCTGCGGTATTGTTCGTAGGTCATATAATGCAAAGCTGCATAGGGAACAATTCTTGCAACACTAGCTCCGTTTCCTCTGTATGAAAATATGTTAGTTATTGAAAACTTGAAAACACAACCTTCACATAAATGATTATGTACTCAGGGATCCACCTGTAGAAACCCAAAGGCCCTTCTGTCTTTGCAATTTTCTTAATGGATCCAAACAGCCCTATGCTCTGATACTCTGCTCTTCTGGTCTGCAAAAGACAACAAACAAATTATTTCAATCTTCAAGGATAATCTGCTTAATGGTAAATCCAGTTTAAGTTAATAATTTGTTTCTAATCGCCATGGGAAACATGAAGGAATATCTTAACCTCCAGTTTCCCACTCAAGGAAGAAGACAAAACAGCAAAACCACACACAAAATCAAGGCACGTGTTAAATAAGCTATTTATCTCTCTCTCAAAAAATCTTCCAAGTTCTCTTCTTTTGTTTTTCCTTTTTGGGTCGGGGAAGGAAAGTTAACTCGGATTTTCTTGCTTGGAACTCCTGAAATTCTGTTTGTATATTATTGACCCCATGACTGTCTCTATAAAACAAAGTCATGGAGAACAAAGTATCGAAAAATCGAATCAAATAAAGTAACCCATTGAACTTCTAATGATCACAGTATTATTCAATCTGAGACCAGCAAACACCCAACAGCAGAAACCAATTCACAATCCATAAAATTTGCACCAGTTCAGTAAAAAGCAGTCATCTTAGATGAAATCTACCCACTGAATAAATCCCAGAAACTCAAACACCCAAGAAGCAAAATGTAATACCAATCTTTACAGTGCCCAAAATCAAGAGTCAACTTTAGCCATTTTCACAGCAAAAAGATTAAAGAATCAATCTAAGTCCATATTTTGAAGGAGAATTTAACACAATTGTACCTGAAACAAAATCTTGATACGCTCAAGTGGTGCAACAACAGTCTTTGCAACACCACCCGCAACACCACCAGCAATCAGCTCCTTGGCAAACACAGGCATGGCATCTATTATCCCATCCAGGTAGGCATTCATCTCTCTCTCTTCCCTCTTCTTTGCCATTGCAGCACCCTCTGAAGAAACACAGAGAGAGGGAGAGAGAGAGAGAGAGAGAGAGAGAGATTCTGGGTAGCTGATCGAAGGAGGAGTTGGCGCAGAGAAGAGAGGGAGAGAGAGAAAAGAATCGAAACGTTTCTCTATGTGTTTTATGGATTTTATATGTATGGGAGAGGACAGCGTACAAGTAAGAGACGCACACGCTTGACTTGGATTCCCTCTTTTTCTATGTAAGAAAAAGAATTATTGGTTTACAGAGAAATGTTCAGCTACTTTCAGTTCTATTTTATTTGTTTCAAAAGTATAGAAGAATCTCACAATCAGGACCGTCCAATTACTGGGCCAGTTTCGATCACGGGCTTATGTGGTAAGTCAAAACAGGTCCATATAGCCAGATTAAAAATAATAAAAATCAAATCAAATCCATTAGTCACAAGTTTCAAGCACACCATCAGTAGAAAATTGAACGAAATAAAAGACTTCTCCCTTTGTTCAATTTTGACTTCAGTGTAATTAGTGTCATCATGAACAATGAATATGAATGGTTAATTTGATTATTTTACTAGCTAGTAGCATCAATGGACCGTGTAACACGTGCCAGCATTTGTGAATTTAATAAACCAAAATTATATAGAGATTAGGCATAGATTCATAGAACATAGATATCAATAAAACCTGCAAACTACAGAAAACAGAAGCAGAAAAAAGTTGATATAGAATGTATTTTTCTGAACTTATCCAAAAAATGCATACCGTCCAACACTACCAAAGAAAAGAGTTCCTAAACTCGGTTAGAGACCGAAAATTTGTGGGTTTCTCAACACTCACCAGCCACTCTTAATTTGATCAGAAGCAACAGTCTAATATTAATGATCCAAAATACATTCAAATCTGTGTTGCTTAAATTTAAGTCACGGGAAAAATTGCTTTCTATCAGAAAGCAATTTCCGCCTTCGATTGCTAGTGACGAACAGGGAGAGTTTGAGGGAGTGCTTCATCAAGCATTGTCTGTCATATGTGGTCAGATGAGTTCAGCTGACTGAGGTCACTACAATTAATTTCTTTAGTAGAAATTCTGTGGATGAGGTGAAGCAATATCTTCCCAAGCTCCTCTCCATCACTCCATTCATGGATGTCAGCCTTGATAAGCATTTGGTTGCTGTAAATGCGCTTCGATAGAGCATAGTCCTTCCTTGGCATTACATGGTCTCCTTCTACAAGCCTTAAAGTTGGGCAAAAATCATTTCTCCCATCTCCTAGGTAGATATATCTTTTCCTCCCATTGGCAGAAACAGAAGCTCGGATTTGATCAATCACCACACCCTAAAATGGAAATCATAAATAGAACCTCAGTTTTATATGGAACAAAGCTACTGTAATGAGAAGATGGAGAAAACATTTTATGCAGTAAAACATATCGATGGGAAAATAAGCCTCTTAAATGGCAAAATTGGGGACAAAACTAAAGCACACTTGCATTAGACCAAGTCACAAAACTTTTATCCTGACCCCCATAGCAGAAATGATAGAAATATTTAGCTCTGCGTTTAATTTGAAATAGTTGGGATGGTGAATGATAGAAAGAAATCAATTCAATGTTCTGCATATCCTGCAGATCAATTTTACTTGGGAGCTACCATGGAAGAATCAGTGGATTTGATACCTCTATACAAACACTTGAGTCTTATAACTCATCACCCAGCAAAAAGTGCATCCAATTTGTTTCCCCTAAATGTTACTGAAAATGGATTGGAAAGGAATGGGCAACAGTTCAATGTGGCTCCTATATGTATTGTGATCTTTTTCTGGAAACAGGACCATATCATATACATTAGAAGTGTGCATCTCTTGTTCTTGAAACAATTTTTTTTAAGGTAAATAGGGCCAAATAATTAATAGCAAAAGTTACAATCACCTATAGATAGGAAGAAAAAGCAATTACAAACTGAACACGTCTCCATTTTGTTATTATTTGTTACTGGTCCAGGCATAGGATAGACGAAGATAGAGCCCTCAGCAAGCCAAAAAACATACTATTTGCTAAACTTATGAATATTATACCTCGATGGTAATGCGTAAGTCGTATCTAAAGAGAAGCTCCAATCATCAAAACCAATCCGTTATTTGATAAAGCAACTGAGAAACTCTTAGTACATAGGTACTAAATTGTAAAGATAAACATAGTTGTATGCCACTAGAAACAAAAGCACATATGTGGAAGTAATATATAACTGAAATGGATGATACTCCGAGTACATGAGCATCGGACATAAACAAATGCATATTGGTTTGAGAAGAAAATTCACCTTGCACAAATTTGGAGGACATAAATTACAACCATGAGAAGGTGAGCCTACATCACGGTATGGAAAAATCCTGAGTCTTCCATCTCCATCAACAAAGCTTGGATTTGTGACAATCTGTGAGAAGCATCCTAACAACCCATGACATTCCAAGATTGTCTCAATAAAAAACTGATTTGCATCGCTAATAATCCTCAAATCACATCTGCAACGACCATATTGAACACCACATCGTTTGTTTTAGCACCAAACGAAAAGAAAAATAGAATTAACATACAATCGACTATAAATGAATTGGCTGAAAAATTTACCCTGAAGCATGAGCTGACTTAATAGCTGCAATTACCCCTGGATGCATTGGAATTATTTTGAGGCACTCTTTAATATCCACAGAACTTTTTCCTTGCAAATGCAGCTCCTTCATCATTCTATCCTACAAAGTTTAACAGTCAACATTAATAAGGCTAAGTCCTTCGGCATCATAACTGGTTTTCATTTCATTGTTAGTTGTGTGTATGTTGCCAATTAACATTAACAAACCAATAAGTCCATGATCAAAGTTAAAAACCCACAAACGCAAGGATCTCTCAGCAATAATACAAAGTTTGCAAACTGGGTTGCATAGAAATTCTTAATCTTTTTTCTTGTTTATATCTGTGACCAAACAGAACAATTAGGCTAAGTGTTCAATAAACCAGAGGATAAAAATATCAATAAAAATTTGAACTTTTTCTATAAATCTACTTCCTTAAAAGATTTACAAAGAGAGAAGGAGAGAGTGCAAACCATGAGTTTGTTCCATGGCAAAGTAGAGCGAAGCTCATTGAAGAGCTGAGTGAGACCCATCTCCGCAACGACCCAGCTATCACTGTCACCGTCGATTAGGGTTCGGTCAAAGTCAAAAACCACAACTATTCCCGCCATTACGAGCGCCGGAGACGGTTTTCCAGCCTGCCAAGAAAAGCTGTTCACGGTAAGCAGCTGAACGCGCCAACTGTCAATCAAGAGTTAAGCGACGGCGTTTGGTGACGGCTTCTGTTTTTGTTGTTGTTAAAAAATAAATAACTAATTAATTAATGAAAACTTTGTTTTGGGGGCTATGTTGGAATTTTAAGAACACAATGAACAATGATGAACACACAGCCCGTTTGAGGACAACAACGGAACCCTAAAATTGTACTGGGCCTCTTGTCCTATTAAAGTCGGTAGGCCTAATATAAGTGGTTGGTAATGTAGAAACAACAATGCCAACATACTCAATAATGTGATGGTCAGGAGCATCAATTGGTCTTTTTCAATGAAATAGTAATTGATTAGGACTGTTTGCAGGGCTAATAAGTTGTATAGTTTCATTAGAACAAAAACATCAAATAGAAAATTGATTGTTTCGGAAATGAGATGTTTTGAGTTAATATTGAGAAGATTATAACTTTTTTTTTAATATAAACGATACTGGAATATGGTAGAGTTTATATTTGACAATACTCCGTATTGCCGGTTTTCAATTGCCCAAAATATGTCATGATTTAGTATTAATAGAACTCTAGAACAATTACATGACCCATAAGAACGCTCTAACCTCTTCCACATTTGAGTTGAGCAAAATTGTTGCATCTAGAACTTCAGTTTTAACCATAACAGGGCTCATGCCCATAACAAACCGCAACCTGCATAAAGAAGACTCTGTCCATAACCAAATGCTAAAGAAAAACCCTAAAATACCCATATTCCAAACTCTATTTTTCCTATTTTTGATATTTTTAGCTTAGCTTTATTGAAATATTATTCCTTTTCATGGCAACTAATTCAATTCACACCAAAAGGGATCAAACACACCATGCAAAAAAAAATGTGATGAAAAAAGATATTCCATCAAATCATGATTAAGATAGCATGATTAATCATTGAGTCAGTTGAAAGGCAAGGCAACTAGAGAGAGAAAGTATTGTAACTTCTAAACATGTCCAATCCCCAAAACATGTAACCTTTTTATTATTTTTTTTCTTTGGATTAAAAATTAAATAAAGTGCGCATGGCCCACATGGGACCCATAAAAAAAAGCATCCAATGACTGGTGTACACATCACTAGGACACCAAACACTTTTAGTCAAACCACAATGATAGGGGCATGCCACTATCATTCCCTTTAAAGTCAAAAAAATGAGCAGTAAATCCGGAAACCGTAAAAACGAGCATCTATAAATTACGGTAAATTCAATAGCCGCGAAAACTTAACGGATAAGGGACGCTACGACGTCGTATCGAAGCAACTGCCTGAATTTGACCGCGGGTAAAAGATTAACGACTAAATTCCGTTAGTACGGATAGGCGTGGGAGCGTCGGTGATGGTTAACCGCAGGTTATTTTTTCGCTTTAGAGAGAGAAAGAGTCGCTTTGTATATAAGCCACAACGAAGCCAAAGGCCTACATTTCTTCAAGAGAGAGAAAGAAAGAGAGAGACAGAGCGAGGGAGAGCGAGAGAGGGGCTGTTGGGAGACGCGCAGAGTTGGCCATGGCTGAATCAAACGACGCCGTCTCCCTCGATATGGAGAAGATCTATCTTGGTGGAAAGGTTCGAGCTTTACTTCAAAGATTGATTTTTTTTCTTCTTCTTTCTGTATTAATTTTTGTTGTTTCCTTCTTCTTTTGTTTTGGGATTTGGTATTCTAGCTGAAAGCTTAAGTTAATTTGGGACGAAGTGTTTTGGCATTGGGTCCAAAGATTGAGTTTAATCTTTCGAAATTTTGAATTTTTTACGGTTCTCATTTTTCTTCTTTCATGTTTATTTTCTTGGGAACCTTGGTTTGCAATACGTTTTGCTGCTTTTGAAATGTTGGAGTTATCTCCTGTTTGGTTACATAGAAAATATAGGAAAAGAGATAGGAAAGTCACATTTTGTATTTTGGATGCTTGTTCTTCCCCATCCCCAAGTCCTCTGTAGCATGCGACAGCGGTGACTATTTGGCTTGGTTCGATAAGAAGAACATTAAACCATTTAATTTCAGATGTTTCTAGAAATGGGTTTGCTAAAAATTTAATTTTGGGATACTGAAGATATGCAAATGGTAATTCTAGATCTGCTAGATATCATTTTTCTTTTTACATTTTCACCGTTATAGATGCAACGAAGCTTTCCTTTTAAGTGCGCATTTGTGTATTTGGGATTTGTACACGTTAACATCTTCTCGCTCCATATGCAATCCCACCTGATTTATTCTCATGGTGATTTTCTTTTCCACTCTCCTTATATTTTAATATCCTTTTAGCTTTGTTCCGGTTTGTGAACTTTTATGCGAAAGGGTTGAATGTTTGAGATGACTTTGGATTATTTAGTATAGGAAGTACTCATTTAGACCCTTTTGTTGATTTGTTTGGATTAAGCTTCAACTCAGTAATGGGGGGTTTTCTTTTTTTCTTTTTCCCTGATTCTTTCCTTCTTGTGTGATGTTCTTTATTGGGCAAGGAGCTGGTCGCTTCGATGAGTCAATCTCCGTGGTTTATTCAAAGTGTGTTACTGTCTGTTGAAGAAACCAAAGTTATACCTTTCGTGGTCTTATTTCTCCACTCTATTGACAAGTCTAGCTGTTGCTTTAAAATGTCATCTATATCTTATTTTTTTTATCAGTTTCTGATTAGTTTAAAGCTAGTTTCTACTTTAATATATTAGATTCCATGCTTCTCTTTTTAACTGTCACCACTTTCTTTTCTTCCTTTTTCAAGAGATTTAAATGATTGATATCCAGAACCACTTATTTGTTTCATCTATTTTTAACAAAGTTATGTCAAAGATGTGGCAGGTCAGTTTGAGTTCCCTGAAAAAGGTGTAAGTGCACATGGGAAGCTCTTTAGGGAATAAAATTATCTGGAAAGCTGGATTCCTGGAATTTTTTCCCCTTACTTGAATGTTTAAATAATCACATAGATAAGACACAGTAGATATCTCTTAAATAAAGGCTATATGTTTATGTATATATCATATAAATATAATGGTAGTAAAATAATTTAACTTGTAAATTTGTGATGTTTTCTTTGTCAATTAGATATAGTTGTTGATTTGCAATCTGCATGCTTAATTTTTCTTGCTCTGATATTGTTATTCTGGTTGTTACTCATTTATTACAATTTTTTTATCCTCAGGAACATTTTATACGAACTGGCTGTGGTTCTGTGTCCGTTATTGTGTATGGAGACCAAGAGAAGCCTGCACTTATCACTTATCCCGATTTAGCTCTAAATCGTAAGTGCAATAAAGTCTCTTTTCCTGGCTCCATTTTGTCGTTGTTTGAAATGGCAGTCTGAGTTTTACCTTTTGCTGTTCTTAATAAAAATTTAATACCTTATTTTCTGAATGGACATTAAAGCTCTCAAATATATTGCTTCTTCTTAACACAATTAGACAATTCTACAAAGTTTATTTTTCTAACACTTTTTTTTCTTTCTTTCTTAAATTGAGCAGATATGTCTTGTTTCCAAGGGTTATTCTTTTGTCCTGAAGCGGCTTCTTTGCTGCTCCACAACTTCTGCATATATCATATCAGTCCTCCTGGCCATGAGGTCTGTAAATGGTTTGCTTCAAGTGGATTTCTATTATACTTTTTAACCAAATCATATAAATTTTGAAAAATATTTTATGTAACTGAATGCCATTATTCACATAGTTTCTCTTTGGAACTCTCACAAGAGTTCTTGCAGTTAGGAGCTGCTTCAATTTTTCCTGATGATCCTGTGCCTTCTGTTGATGACTTGGCAGATCAGATCCTTGAGGTTCTCAACTTTTTTGGGTAATGACTAAGACTATTTCTTAATAATGGGTTACAATTAGAGCTAGGTGTAGAAGTGGTTTTCCATTTTCACTAATCATGTTTTAATGTCATTTTCTTTGATGAGATTTTGCACATTACCTAGTTCTGATTGCACTAACATCTCCTTCTTCAGGCTTGGTGCAGTTATGTGCATGGGGGTGACAGCGGGTGCTTATATCCTTTCCCTATTTGCTGTAAGTTCCATTCATTTTTTTGCAACTATGTTTAAAAATGTTTCAATCTCAGTTCATTGATCAATCTTTATTCAATAGATGAAATATAGGGAGCGTGTTCTTGGATTGATACTTGTATCCCCTTTGTGCAAATCACCCTCTTGGACAGAATGGTTTTATAATAAGGTCCTTTTTCTAAACTTAGCTCTTATTTGTTGTGAGTAAATGTTAATTTTGAATGTTAAACCTATGCCTACTTGTAATTTTTAGGTGATGTCGAATATGCTATATTTCTATGGCATGTGTGGTTTGCTAAAAGAGTGTTTGCTTCAGCGCTACTTCAGTAAGGTATTGCTGTGCTCTAACATTGTATCCTTCTTCCACTTCTACTACCTTTGCTTGATTGAGTGATGAGTATGTTATACTTCTCAACAGGAGGTTCGTGGTAGTGCTGAAGTTCCAGAGTCAGATATAGTTCAAGCATGCAGAAAAGTGAGTGCTTCAGCTAATTTAAATTTCTTTTAGGTAAACTGCATGTTTTCTGGAACATGATTCTCATATGGTTTTATCTGTTTGATTTACTTGCATTGTTTGCTTCTTCAGTTGCTGGAAGAGAGGCAGAGCTCAAATGTTTTTAGATTTCTTCAAGCAATTAATCGGTAAACAGTGCTGGAGTTGCTTACTTACTTTCCGGTTTCCCCTCCACAGAGATAAATGCAATATATTTTGATGGTCTATAACTTTGTTTTTTCCGACTTTCAGGAGACCTGACATAACTGAAGGGTTGAAGTCGCTAAGGTGTCGCACACTTATTTTTGTTGGGGATAGCTCCCCTTTCCACTCTGAGGCTCTCCACATGACCGCAAAGTTGGATAGGAGATATAGTGCCTTAGTAGAGGTATGTTGCATGCCATGTTATACTTGTTTCTTCTAAATATCTATCATTAGATGCGCATGATTTTGAAAAGAATCAAAGAGAGAGAGTTCAATACAGGATGGATGGGTTGTGTTGGTGCAGGTCCAGGCTTGTGGATCCATGGTAACAGAGGAGCAGCCACATGCAATGTTGATACCTATGGAGTACTTCTTCATGGGGTATGGCTTGTATAGGCCATGCCATTTCAGTGACAGCCCTAGGAGCCCACTCAGCCCGTCTTGCATCTCTCCAGAGCTTCTCTCCCCAGAAAGCATGGGTTTGAAACTAAAACCAATAAAGACCCGTGTTTCGCTAGGACGATAACATTGTCGAAAGACAGGCGGAAATTGGAAATAATGCAAGTGATGTGAATGAGGTTTCAAAAGTTGCTTATTTTTTTGGTTCTTTTGTTAAATTTTTTATTGTTTAAGCAGGAAAAAGGGGTAGAAGAAGTGGCCGGAGGGGAGGGGTTGTAGATACAGAGGGGGGAAGAATATGTCATATATAATATAATTATATAGGGAGCAGGAGACTTTGATTCATTCTTTTGTAGTCAGTCATAAGGGAATCATTCCTTTGAGCTGTCTGTAAATTCTACTATAAACAAATTGGATTGACTTTTATTTATGATGACGAGAAATCAATAACAGGGGAACTTCCCATTCGTTCAGAATCTCTCTCTCTCTCAATTCCTTTGAACTGCATTTCCACTTAGATACGTCTACATCAAAGAATATAAATAAAATTTTCCTCATAAAAAGTTTAGAGTCATCAAATTTATTCATCGGGTTAAGGATAATTAACAAACGTACCGCAAAACAGAAAATTAGTTGGTTGAATTATATCTCAATAGTTTTCAGAATATTTTGAGGTGGGCCATTATGGTCGTGAGTCAGTCTCATAAAATTAATTTAGAGTAATTTAGACTAGAAATAGTTTAATATACAATATGGTGATGTAACGGGTCCAATTCATACCTTTTTTTTTTTTTAATCAATCGCTTTCGCTATTTGTACGAGGAAACATGAGAGTGAATTGATTCCCACATTCGGAGGCTTGTCTTCATGGGACTGCAATGCGTATCCTACGGACTGCTTTTCGAGGTCATTTCTTCGTTGAACTTCCTGGCAACCTTCTCTCCTTCCCACATTCTCGCGCTGCTTTCTGTCCCATTAGTACCGCTTTATCCCATGCAGAAGCCACTTCTTTTAACAATGACACTGAACACTGTACGGCGTCGTGTTTTGATGAGCGCTTTCAGAACATACTCAGAAAATTATCCAAGAATAACCCAAACGAGAGGACGAGTCTCTGTTCTGGCCCTTCTGGGTTGCTACGTAGTTGCACTTCAAAAGGGCCTTTGACCGAGGGGAAGGCGATTCAGGATCAACTGATCAAAAATGGGATTCACCCAAGTTTGGAAATTTGCAGTTCAATGGATAGTCTTTTTGTGAAATTGGGGAGCTTTGGGTTTGCAGGTAAGGTTGTTGATGAATTGCCAGAACGAGATGCTGTGTTGTGGAATAAGCTAATGTCTCGGCTGGAACATGAAGGATGTAGCTACGACTTGATTAAATTCTATTGTCAGATGAGGAAGGATGGTGGTATGCCAAACGGGTTAAGCTTGGCGGCTGGATTGAAAGCTTGCTCAATTAGCTTAGAGTTGGACTTTGGGACACAGTTGCATGCAGAAGTTATAAAATTAGGAGTCTTTCAGGATGGGATTGTTGGGTCTGCTCTGGTTGATCTTTATGCAAAGTGTGGAGAGCTGGAACTAGCAAATAAGGTGTTCTTTAACATGCCCAAGAAGAATGCTGTGTCATGGAATGCTTTGCTTGATGGATATGGTAAGATTGGTGATTGGAAAGAGATTCTGACATTGTTTTGCAGACTAAAAATTCAGGGATTGAAGTTTAGTAAATTCACTTTATTGACTGTGCTTAAGAGTTGTGCTCACATGGAAAATTTAGGAGGAGGTCAAGCTGTGCATGCTCTTCTAATCAAGATTGGTTGTGAGCTTGATAAAATTCTGGGTAGTTGCCTTCTTAATGTGTACTCGAAGTGTGAATTGGCAGATGATGCACTCAAAGTCTTTGGGAGAATAAAAAATCCGAAAATAGTAGCCTGGAGTACAATGATAAGCTGCCTTGATCAACAAGGCCGAAGCCTTGAAGCAGCCGAGATGTTTTGCCAAATGAGGCACACAAACTTAAGACCGAATCAGTTTACCCTTGCTAGTATGGTGACTGCTGCAACGAATCTGGGTGATTGGCACTATGGTGAAAGCATTCATGCTTGTGTATTTAAATACGGTTTCGAATCTGATAATTACGTCAGCAATGCACTTGTAACAATGTATATGAAAGTTGGATCTGTACAAAAAGGTTGGCATGCATTTAATCAAATGCCTGTTCGAGATACAGCTTCATGGAATTTCCTTTTGTGTGGAATTTATGACAGTGAAAACTGTGATCATGGGCCAAATGTCTTCAAAGAGATGCTTGCGCAAGGTTTCAAACCTGATACGTACACATATATCAGCATTTTAAGATGCTGTTCCAGCCTGTTAACTGTATTTTTTGCAAAGCAAGTACATACGCATATCATAAAGAGTGGCCTCAACGCTAATAGATTTGTAGCAACTGTTCTCATTGGGATGTACTCCAAAGGCAGGTCCTTGGACGATGCATATGTAATTCTGAACGAATTGATCGAAAGAGACCTCTTCACTTGGACAGTCCTCATATCTGGTTGTGCACAAACTAATCAAGGAGAGAAGGCTGTAAAGAGTTTCAATCAGATGCAACGACAAGGTGTGAAGCCCAATAACTTTACTTTCTCTAGTTGTTTGAGTGCTTGCTCCAGTTCAGCAATCCTAGAAAGTGGACAACAACTCCATTCACTGGCATTGAAGTCTGGACTGTCAAATGATACATATGTTTCTTGTGCACTTGTTGATATGTATGCACAATGTCGATGTATAGAAGATGCTGAGAAGATATTCAAGGGTTCGGATTCAAGAAACAGAGTCTCCTGGAACACAATCATATGTGGATACTCACAACATGGTCAAGGAAAGAAGGCTCTTGAAGCCTTTCAGATTATGCTAGATGAAGGTGTTCGGCCAGATGAGGTTACTTTTATAGGTGTTCTTTCTGCATGCAGCCACATGGGTTTAATTGATCAAGGGAAGATGCACTTTAATTCATTGAGCAAGGAGTATGGTCTTACTCCTTCAATTGAGCATTGTGCATGTATGGTCAATATTTTTAGTCGGGCCGGCAAATTTAATGAGGTTGAAAGGTTTGTTGGGGAATGGAAACTCACAGAGAGTCCCTTGATTTGGGAAACTGTTCTATGGGCTTGTAAAATGCATGGGAATGTGGAATTTGGTGAGAGAGCTGCACAGAAGCTATTTGAGCTTGAACCTGAAATGGACTTCAATTATATATTGTTATCTCACATTTATGCAGCCAATGGGCAGTGGGATGATGTTGCAAGGGTTAGGGCATTGATGCACAGTCGGAAAATTACGAAAGCACCAGGGTGTAGCTGGCTAGAGGTCAATGCTCAAACCCATGTTTTTTTTGCTCAAGATAGAACACATCCCATGATCAGGGAGATTTATTCACAGTTGGAAGGGCTAGCTCGATGAAGAATGAAAACTATAAATTTCTCTTAAGATTGGGAATGGCTTGGGGCATGGACATGTTATCAGATATATGCTGATGCATTGCCTATGGCTGAGAATCAAATGGTCCTCAAGAGCTCATTCCAACTTAAAGACCACTGACACAAAATGCAGACGCCTACAGGAGGCCATTCCGGTGTTCAAGGAACTAAAACTATGGAGGGCGCTTGATCAAGCAGACATTAGAAGTAGATTACAAGCCAGATTTGGAGGCCAGAGAACAGGTGCTAATCCAAACATGGAGTTGGCAGGCTGCAAATGGGTTGATTAGTTTATGGGGGTAATTCTTATGACCATCAAGAAAGTGAAACAATGCCATCACAATGTGTTAAAATTATGCCCCCCAATATGGGCATCACCTATTGGATAATTGGATTGTTGCCAATTTCTCTTGTTAACAAGTTTTCTTATTCTTATGTTCCCACCAAAATTGGTGTAACTTCCTTGACCTTTCTTTTCCTTTGAGCCTTCATGTTTTTTAAGCTGTAATTTAGATGATCCCAAAATGGGTTATGTGCTAATCTTTTTTGTTAAGTTTCTAGACCCATCATTTAATTAATTTATTTATTTAAAAAAAGAACTAAAGAATGGTTGCATTTCATTTTTAGTATTTAGTTATCTTTATTTCTTGAGATAAAAAGATAAATCTACGGAATAAATATATGGGATATATGAGGAATCCTAAACTGCCTGCTTATATAGATTCTAGCAGTAAACATATGGATATGCATATCATGTTATTTATATGAGTATTTAGCATATATAAGATTAATGTCGACAACTTGGCAAGCTTTACATACTATATTTTCTTCTTACTGAAAATAGTTTTCTTTCTTGAATTGTTTACTAATTACCAGTGAGGTTATTTGTAAAATACGTTGAGATATTACTGTAATAATTGGGTGAAAAGTTACTCTCGTCAATTCAAAAGGGGATGGTTTTATTTGGAGATGAATCTGTGAATGTCTTTACTATTGTTGTTTCATGTCCTATACTGGTGTGAGACATAACATTTTGATCGAATTTGAGTAAGGGGAGATATCGATTCTTGCTAAATTGACCACATGATATTGATTATTGAAATTTGTAAGCATAATCTGATTTGATTCTCTTTTATATTTGGTAGAGTTTTTCTTTCTTTGCTTTCACATATCTAAAAGTAAGAAGATATTACAAAATTTCCAAAACTTAACTTTGCTTTTGTGGTTTTCTACTCTCCCATTGCCAGACATCAAGATTTATCATAACATGGAACAACACGTTCCTCCGTGGTGATTGTAGATATAATATTGGACAAATGAAAATAAAAATTATTCTTTTTTGGTTTACTAAATTGCCTATATTGGAAGGAAAATAATTGTGAACTCGAAAACAAAAGGAGAAACATTAAATTGTCATAAAAAAAGAAAATAAAAGCACTTATTTCGGCCAAGTGGTCTTTGGTTTTAACCCTCATGACATCTTGATTGTACGTGTAAGAAACTCCTTTCTACTTGTAGCTTAGACTATCGCTTGTTAAAAAAAAAAACATTTAATTCAGCAGAAAAGTAGCCAGTCTGGTTTTAAATGACGGTGTGCATCTTTAGCTCCGGTTTTAAAATAATTAGTGACGACTTTTGAGTCTCAATCCTTTAAACAGATTTAGCTGCGGTTTTTGTCGTCGCTAACCGTTGATAAGCGCCACTAATTCAAACTATAGTCGACGAAACTTATAACCGTAGCTAAAAGTCGTCAGAGTGGTAAATCGTCTCCTCACTCTGTCTGGGCAGTGATTTGTTCATTCGGAACAGAATTTTAAGAATCTACACTTGTTTAAAATGGAAAACCGTTTCTCATATGGTTTATACTTACAGATACAACATGAAAATATTGTCAAAAGTTTCGCTGAGGCTACTTTTTTTATTATTTACAAAACATCACTCCTTGAGCCAAGGGCCTACTACGACCTCCAACCTGATTTTGTAATTTTGTTAAGACTGCACACTCAATCCTGACAAAGCCTGAAAATTCACACAACCAAAACTCCATTAGCATATTAACAAAAGCAAACCAAAAATCACAATCCCAAGACCTAATCAACAACAAAAGGGGAAAACAATAAACCATACATTACCAAATATCTTCCATAAAAGGTAGGTAGAATATAGTTTCAGGTTAGCACTCCATCACAACCTCAAAACAGTCAAATTTCCAATCCACGCAGCATGTAACCAGATTCCAACTCACTCCACAGAGAAGTAGACTAGGTCAAAAGCTAAGATTATGTTTCAAAGAACCACCGAATTCCATATCATGCCAAATACAACCAACCATAATGGAGTGATCCATACAGACTAACAAAACATGAGATGACAAACTGAGAGATCCAGATGCGACAGCTTGTATGCATCATATGAATAAACTAAATGCAGTAAGAAAAGCCTGAAAATGTAAAGGATTAAACATCTGCAGAACTTAAACAGCTACAAAACTTAACAAATGAAAGATCACTAGGACATGATATGGGAGAGGTATATCATGTCCTGGCACCAGGACACAAATGCGGGTCAACAGTGTTTCTGTTCTTTATATTATTATTGTTTTTTTTTACAGCATCTATGCTAATACAGTGATGCCAAAACTGTCATGTCCGACTAGTCAATGAAAGAAACCATATAGATGACGCATACATGGAAATCTAAGAACAAATATTGATCTTCAAACTAATAGAACCCAGAGGCCACTCTGAAAACTATTCTAGGGTAGAATAATACTGTTTTGAAATTTGATACAGGAGGTTCTTGTTTGTATCCCACAGAAAAAGTTAATGGAATTCAAGTCCTGGTTACAGAAAGGCTTTTATATGTTTCTATTTGAAACAGCTTTTAATTATCAAATGAATCAAAGAAAAAGGCTCTATAAAGATACACACAAAGGCTATCAAAGTATAGAAAAAGCAAGAAATCAACAACACAGCACAAATGGCATAATCCAGAATCAACAACACAACACAAATGACATAATGCAGAATCAACAAAGTGATGAGTGAACCCAATTATTAAGGATGAACTTTAGCTCATAACAAAAAAACGTAATTTAATACAAGAACCCTTCTATTGGACCAAACACAGATAAAATTCCAATAACTCATCATCCAATTAGTCATTTATCATACAATTAGAACCGAAGTGTTTTACTTTTTTCTTTGGGTAAGCAAAAGATCATCCCTTTTACCTGTTTGAAGAGGAGAAGAAGAAATTAACAGACGGCCGATCAAGATTACTATGTCTTATGGGGTAACAGCAATGATGTATGAACTATTTTCAAAACCTCCAATTCTAATGTTCAAATTCAACTTCCTTGAATTAAAATACTAAACAATTTCACAAAAGGATTGAAGTTTGAACCAAACCCGACTACACAATCAGAACCCAGAAAATCTCAAACCGCTAATTTTTACGAATGTTATCTAATAAGAATTACCTCAGAGTTTTTCCATGCAATTAACGAAATTGAAGGACAGACGATGATACACCCTCCTCGCTCTGAACCGGTTTGGGCCTGCTCTGTGGCTCTATGCTTAGCTATTGGGCTTCAGTAGAATTTGCTTTCTGAACACTTCTACGACGTCGTTTCATCTTATCTCTAGACAAAGAGAATGAAGTAAGGCGACCCGGCGGTTAGGACACTTTTAGAAAGCCCGCGACTGCAGTCGCGGGTTTTAGCAAAACCCCTACACAGGAGAGTGAGAGAGAGAGAGAGAGAGAGAGAGAGAGAGAGAGGAGAGGGAGAGGAACTTCCAATAGAGAAAGGATAGAGAAGAAGCATCAGCCGCTGTAGCTGCTGCCAGTCGTCAACCGACGTCGCCGGCGTTCATTTGTCACCGTCCTGGTCGCACATGTAAGTGAAAAGCATGAAACTTTTCTGTAATCTTAGCTAACGTTCCTAGATTGTGTAATTTATGTTGTGTTGTTGATTCTAGATTATGTAATTTATGTTGTGTTGTTGATTTCTTCTTGTGCCTATATTTGGATAACCTTTTTGTGTCTGTTTATAAAGCCATTTTTTTTGGGTTCATTTGATAATTACAAACTGTTTCAAATAGATGGAATGTGACTTGAAAGCTCTGCGAATGTCACCTGCTTTCCGGAGTCTCTTATTGCCCATTTGCCAAAGACCCACTTCTTCGGTTCAATTACATAACAAGATTAGTCTCAGTTCCAGGTCACTATTGCTCCCTGTTAAATTAAAGCCCTCGTCTTGTGCTGCTCTGGAAGAGTTTGACTTGAATCCCATCAGTGATTTGGCTCTCAGCGATGTCCCAAACTCTGAGACTCAGCTTCATGAAGTAAGAGTAAATAACGGCAGTTCAACTAATGAGGAAATGGTAGGAAGCAATGTGAAAACCAGGCCTAGAGTTTTCGATAGCAAGAAGAGGCTTATACATTATTCTGCGATGCTTCGTACCTGTGTTTTGCAAGGGTCTTTGAATGAGGGGAAGGCTATTCATGGACAGGTAATAAAAAATGGGATTGATCCAGATTCGCATTTGTGGGTTTCATTGGTTAATGTCTATGGAAAATGTGGGGATTGTGGGTATGCACGTAAAGTGCTTGATGAGATGCCAGATCGGGACGTCGTGTCATGGACTACTTTAATTCAAGGATTTGTAGTTAAAGGTTTTGGTGTTGATGCTGTTAAATTATTCTGTGAGATGAAGAAAGATGGTACGAGAGCAAATGAATTTGCATTGGCAACTGGTTTGAAAGCATGTTCTTTGTGCTTCGATTTAGGTTTTGGGAAACAGTTGCATGCTGAAGCAGTGAAACTGGGGTTCTTTTCGGATGTTTTTGTTGGTTCCACTCTTGTCGGTCTTTATGCAAAATGTGGTGAGATGGAACTCGCAGATACAGTGTTATTTTGTATGCCCGAGCAGAATGTTGTATCGTGGAATGCATTGCTTAATGGGTATGCTCAAGAAGGTGACGGAAAGCAAGTTCTGAAATTATTCTGCAGAATGACGGAATCAGAAATGAGGTTGAGCAAGTTCACCTTGTCTACTGTTCTCAAAGGTTGTGCAAGCTCGGGAAATTTGAGAGGAGGTCAGTTTTTGCATTCCCTAGCAATTAAAAGTGGGTGTGAGAAAGATGAATTCCTGGGTTGCAGTCTCGTTGATATGTACTCAAAGTGTGGGATGGCAGTCGATGCGGTAAAAGTATTCAGGAGGATTAAAAATCCTGATGTAGTGGCCTGGAGTGCAATTATCACTTGCCTTGATCAACAAGGGCAATGCCAAGAAGTGGCTGTGCTATTTCGTGAAATGATAAGTGCAGGAATCTCACCAAATCAATTTAGTCTTTCTAGTATCATCAGTGCTGCCACTGATCTCAAAGATCTGCATTTTGGTGAAAGCGTCCATGCTTTTGCATGGAAATACGGTTGTGAATCTGATATTTCAGTCAGCAATGCTCTAATCACAATGTATATGAAAATTGGGCATGTGCTAGATGGTGCTCAAGTTTTTGAGGCAATGACAGATCGTGATTTGATTTCATGGAATTCCCTTTTATCGGGAACGCACAATCATGAAATATGTGACCTAGGACCAAGAATCTTCCACCAAATGCTTGTCGAAGGTTTCAAGCCCAACATGTACTCATTCATTAGTATTTTAAGGTCTTGTTCTAGCCTCTTGGATGTAGGCCTTGGAAAACAAGTACATGCCCATATTGTCAAAACTAGCCTCGATGATAATGACTTTGTTGGGACAGCTCTCATCGACATGTATGCCAAAATTAGGTTATTGGAAGATGCTGTGATAGCTTTCAATAAATTGAGTATTCGGGACCTCTTCATTTGGACAGTCATCATTACGGGTTATGCACAAACTGATCAAGCAGAGAAAGCTGTTGCTTGCTTCAGTCAGATGCAACAAGAAGGAGTGAAGCCAAACGAGTTCGCCCTTGCTGGCTGTTTGAGTGCTTGCTCCCGTATAGCTATGCTGGAAAATGGGCGGCAGCTCCACTCAATGGCAATTAAGAGTGGGCATTTGGGAGATTTATTTGTTAGTAGTGCACTTGTTGATATGTATGCAAAATGTGGATGCATAGGTGATGCTGAGGATATCTTTGCGGGCTTAGTTTCACGCGATACAGTCTCATGGAACATCATGATATGTGGATATTCCCAATATGGGCGAGGAGAGAAGGCTGTTGAAGCCTTTTCAACAATGTTGAATGAAGGCACCATACCAGATGAAGTAACCTTCATTGGTATCCTTTCTGCATGCAGCCACCTGGGTTTAGTTGAAGAAGGGAAAAAGCACTTTGACTCACTGAGCAAAGTTTTCAGGATCACTCCTACAATTGAGCATTATGCTTGTATGGTTGATATTCTTGTTAGGGCTGGAAAATTTAATGAGGCTGAAAGCTTCATTGAGACAATGAAACTAACATCGTATCCCATTATTTGGGAGACTGTTCTAGGGGCTTGTAAGATGTATGGTAATGTAGAATTTGGTGAAACAGCTGCAAAAAAGCTTTTTGAGCTTAAACCTGAGATGGATTCAACTTATATCTTACTATCTAATATCTTTGCAGTCAAAGGTAGGTGGGATGATGTTAGCAAAGTCAGGAAATTAATGTCCAGTCAGGGTGTTAAGAAAGAACCTGGTTGTAGCTGGGTTGAAGTTGACGGACAAGTCAACACTTTTGTCTCTCAAGATGGTTCACATCCAAGAATCAGGGATATCCATTTGAAATTGGAGGAACTAGGCGAAAAGCTGAATTCAGTAGGTTATATACCGGAAACAGAAGACGTGCTTCATAATATCACTGAAAGAGAAAAAAACGAGCATCTCCAATATCATAGTGAAAGGTTGGCTCTTGCCTTCTCCCTTATAAGTACAAATCCTCCAAAAACTATTCGGATTTTTAAAAATATACGCATCTGTGGAGACTGCCATGAGGTTATGAAGCTCATTTCAGAGGTCACAAATCGGGAAATAGTTGTTCGTGACGTCAAGCGGTTTCATCATTTTAAGAGTGGAACTTGCTCCTGTAATGACTTCTGGTGATTTGTCATTAGAAGCTCTATAGTCGGGGGCCACAGAGCATTTTAAACATTGTCCTCATAATGAACTATGAACCACAATCTCCTACCCAAAGAAATGCTGCTGTAATCTTATCAGAGTACTACCTCTCAACATATTATATTGCTTCTCTTTTTTTTCATAACATGACTAGACAATTAAAAAAATTATGGTTCCTGATTACCCTTTTTTTCCTCCATTTTAAAACAAACTGAGCTGGTATGCCCTGTTTTGAAAGGTTATTCTTTTGTACTCCGCGTCTGCATATATCATATCAATCCTCCTGGCCAGGAGGTTCGTAGATGGTTTTCTTTGTGTGCATTTCTTCTTCTTTTTCCTTCTTTTTTTTTTTTTTTTTTTTCCTGAAGTATATTGCGTGAAACTGATTGCTATTGTTCACATTGTTCCTCTTCAGAACTTCGCAATAGTTCTTGCAGTTGGGAGCTGATGATCCTGTGCTTCCTGTAAATGACCTGTCTGATTCCTTGAGGTTCTCAACTTTTTTGCAGAATGATTAACACTTATTTTATTTTAATTGATCTTCAAGTCGCGAGAGTTTGGAACTCTTTGGTTGCTGATCTCAAGACTCAAATATTAGATACATTTGCTGGTGTTAATATGGGGTTGCAACCAAAGGTAGGTGTAGAAGTAGATTTCCTTTTTCACTACTCATGTTCTAAAGTCATTTGCTCTGATGAGATCTTGCACCGTAACTAATTTCTGATTGCGCAATCATCTCCTTGTTCAGGCTTATGTGCATGGGGGTGACAGTGGGTGCTCAGTTAGATACTTTCACCATTTGCTGTAGTTCCCACCATTTTTTGCAACTTTGTGTAGAGTATCTGTCTCAGTTCTTTGATCAGGGTTTGTACCATAGGAGCACCCTCTTGGACGGAATGGTTTTATCACAAGGTTCCTATTTCTGTGGCATGTGCGGTTTGCTAATAGAGTCTTTCCTTCACCGCCACTTGGATAAGGTATTGTTGTCTTCTAAGATTGTATCCCTTTTCTTCTACTTCTACTTCCTTTTGTAGGTTGAGTGACGAGTATGATATACATCTCAACAGGAGGTTCGTGGCAGTTCTGAAGTTCCAGAATGAGATAAGAGTTGAAGGATGAAGTGCCCTTTCTTGAGAATGAATTGTGTTGTCATTAAAGTTCATAGAATGGAACATGTAGTAACGTTCTTTGTCACGGTTTTCTTTTGGTCTGGATACTTTATTTATCAGGTTTGACCATATCAGGTTTGACCAGAGGAACGAGCCTATGCACAGAGGGGACCAGAATATTGAAACCTCATATGCACTTTCACATGTGGAAAAGCCTGGGTTGTGTAGACCAAACAGCGAGTCTAAGACAAGCAGTATAAAACTGCAGCTGCTTGGCGTCTATGCTATGTGAACTGCGAAGTTTGAAAGCCACATGTGGACCTCCCTAGTTGTGTTGCTTTTGTCTGGTACCCTTCATATTGGTTGCCACCGAATTTTTTTGTACATATTCATTGACCAAAAGAAAGTTGTATATATTCATTGGGTTCAGGGCATTAGTTGGCCGCAGGGTTTTAAATTTGTAATCCAGGTTCATTGAGTAAAGCTTCAGTATGATATGGAACCTCCATCTCTTTGATGAACTTAAAGCTCCTTACTGATTTCCACAGTTAAGTACGTAAAATTTTTTTTTGACTGGTTAAAACTTTCAAATTAGGAACTTCTTCCTAATTACACACTTCTTCTAAGGCATTTCCGACCCTCCAAACTGATGCCAAAATTTTATGGTTTGCCAACTATTGCACACAACAAAGTTTGTATTCCATCTAGCAAATAAGTTACACAAAAATGCGATATTCCCCCTTCTAATAACTACTAAAGAAACAACAAAACTGATACCGGTAAGGCAGTGTATTAACCTTCAGTATACAACTTATAAGGAGGCCTCGAGTATCTGGTTGCCTGAGTATTCTGCATGAGCACGAGGTAGTCGGAAAAAAATATAGTATACTTTTTATGGATCACACAAGCAACTACATTATTGCCCTTCTCATTCTGTATCCTCATCAGAGAGGGGATTCTCAACTTCACTCCCACTGTTTAGGCTATCATTATTGATGAATGAGGACCTCCCACCAGCTGAGTCAGAGTTACAACGAAGGTCATACTTTACAAATTTTATCTTCTCTTTCTTCTCAGGGGTTTTCCCCTCTTTCCGTTTTCTTCCTCTTTTTTCTGATGAGGTCATTGTATGCGCAGCAGCTACAAACGCAGCACTCATTGATTCTTTCACCTTTTCATTCTCCTCATCTGCATGTTCCTCGTCTCCATTGTTATCTATGTAAAAGAGAAGATCATCATCCACTTTCTTGCTATCCAACTTAGAAGCCGGTTGCTCAGAGTCTGATTTGGACATCTCATGAACCAGTTTAGTACGAAAATTTTCCATGCTATCATCAAATACTCTTAAGCCATGATCTTCAAGGTTAAGAAGCCACTCTGGAGAATGAGATCGATATGAGAGAGAGCATTAAAAAAATTATTTATCGTTGATTTACCACAAAGGGAAGTAGAATCACTTACTTATAAGAGCTTTAGGTGAAGTGCCCTTTGATCTGATTGCACCGTCATCCTCAGGAATCTGATTCTTTACCCATTTAATTATTTGGGAAGATAATTGTGAACTGGAAAACGCAGTTACATAAGAGATGGCTCTCCTCTGATCCCCATGCTCCCTGATAGTGAAATTTTTCCATAAGGGTTTCACTAGAATTTCAAAAACATAATGAAATGCTGTTTTCTATTTCATTTTTTCTTTCTGGACATATAATTATATTTATATTTTCGTACCTGAAATACTCCACTGCTTCATGAGTAACAATCAATCTTTTCATGGCAATACTTTTCATGTGCTCAGGAGGTAAGTGAATTACTCTCTCAGGGTTGAGGAAAGAATACTCAACCAATATGATGGAATCATACAGCACTTGCCTCAACAAAACTTCATCCTCAGAACTCTGCATGTAAAGAGTAACAAGATGCGAACTTTACTTTTAAGATCATATCAACAAAAAGATAATTCCACTTCCTGTCAATATAGTCTGGCGAGCAAACACAATGTGCATCTAGAAGCCCACTATTTGAATAGAAACAAACAATAGGACAGATGTAGTATCAAACTAAACATTTTAAAAGAGGAATACAAACCAAAAGGGAGGTAACAGGCAAAGTCTTCTCCAGCAGCATCCTCACAAGCACCTCTATTTGACACAAAGATAAGGATGTTAGCACAATAAATGTGAGAATCTGATGAAATCATCATCGCTATATGAGACATGAAATTTTATTCAGTGAAACACAAGGCATGCAGTAACTAGGAAACTACCAAACAGTATTAGATACGTGTGATATAATTTCACTTTTTTGAAATCGATGAAACAGAAGAAACATAGCAAAAGCACAATGAAAAGTTATATATGATAAAGCATTCATTGTTAATGTCTATCCCAGTCCTTTTTGGTGCAAATAACCCTCAGCCATTTTAGCCCATGCAGAACTCATGCCTTACTAAAATAAAAGTGTGATGCAGAAGGAAAAATCTTGATAACAAATATACATAGACCATGTCCTAATTCAAGAAAAAGTTAAAACAACACTAACCAAAAAGGTAAAAGTTCTGAAATCCGGTAATGGAAGCAATAGCCCAAGTCCTTAACTCTATCTCCAACTCCTTCGTTGAAGTCCCAAGTTTGAAAATCAGGCACAGTTTCAACAAAAACACCTCTGCAATAACAACTCCTGCCGAGTAACCCACATCACCTTCTCTCTCACTAAGCCCCCGAAACACGTCACTGCTCACTAAAGGTAAGAAAAATTCTGATCCCTCATTTGAGTTCATCCAAACACGAATTAAATCCGCAAAAGGAGTAATCAAACTTGAACCAGTTGAACCATCATTCTCACCCAAATCCTTGCAAGAACACACATTTGCATAACCAAGAACCACTCCTACCAAATTCTGAACTGCTTTCATCACTTTCTTCTCTGCTTTCAATGACAAGTCCCTCTTAAACAAATCAACAACCACATTGTACACCTCATAAACCACTGGAGCAAGCAATGCGATGCTCTTCAAAGAACTGACCGAAGCTGAGCACGAGGACACCAGCTGAAATAAGTCTTTTGCGGCTGCTATTCGATTCAAATGGTCCTCTTTTGGGTGATTACGGCTACGAAACGTCAATGCGGCATAGACCCAGATGGATTCGAGAGGTGGGTCTACTTGAGCTTGCATTAGGTCGTAGAAGACTTGGATGAAGTGGGAGAATTTGGGGTTTTCCTTGTGAATTTCAACTAAAAGGTTTTGAATTGATTGGGTTAGCTTTAGGTCGTAGTTTTCGCCAATCAGAGGGCTTAGGTTTGCTGGGATTGAGGAACTTTTGGAGTCAATTAAAGCGAGAGCCATGGTTGAACCCTAAAATGCGACCAATTTGTTTCAGTGAGGAATGTGATAAGGAGCTGTGCTAAAGAAAAACCCTAATTGTATGAGCAGGTCAGTTGAAGAAGCCAACGGTTTAGGGTTTAAGGAGTTATCGCCGTTTGTAAACACTACGTGTCGTTTTGTTATAGCTAAGATGGGTCAATGGGTCGGGTCGGGTCATGGGCAGAGTTTGACAGTAAGACGTGTATCTCGTATTCTATTGGTTGGTAAGCGGGACCCACTACTACACTATGCTGTAACCACCAATCAGATGCAAGGAAACACGTATAGGAGCAAATTGGATTTCACAACTACATGTTTTGGCTGACCAAGTGAAAAATTGATCCATCAAAAACGAAAATAAACAAAAAACAAAAGATTGCGTCTTTTTTGGTGAAAATCATTATAAGGATCAAACTTCTTGTGTTTGTCACTGTTTGGTCTCTGTGTTCAGGTTCTTGTTTGAATTCTGGAGAGAGAGTTATGGCGAAACTGAAGCGAATTCTTGTAGCAATCTCAGTGTTGGTGGTATTAGCATGTGTGCCAATCTCCGAGTGTGCTAAGAAACCAATGACCGTTGCCAGGAAGGAAGACATTCCTTTCATCAAATGCCAAGTCTGTGAGAAGCTCGCAGCTAAGCTACACCAACAAGTTAAGAAGAAGCAAGCTGAGATCACCCCCAAGAAGGTATTTTTATCATCTGGGTTTTCTTCCAGAGCCTTCAATATGCTTTTGTTTCAGAGCGTCTGTTGAATTTGAAAGTGGGTGCTCGTTTTTTGGTGCTAGATCTCGGAGTATCAGATTATTGAGATTTCGGAGAATGTCTGTAATTTGAAGAAGGCAGAGGCGGATTGGATTTTGCAGATTGATATAGTTGAGCAAGGAGATAAGTTGGAGGTAACAATTTCTTGGGTTTGATTTTGGTTTTAGGCCTGTTTGATGAGTTAAATGGTATTTTTGAGTTTTGTGCTTACATATAGTTGAGTTTAGTTATTCATTGCTTGGAAAGTATGGCTTGCTAATATTTTGATGGTATAGTGGATATACAAATTCCTGTAGGCATATTGTAGACATTTTGTTGTTCATTGTCCTGACCTTCTACATCATTTGTTACTTTTCAGCTGGTGGAACAAGGTTCTGAAGGACAATGTAATTCGGAATGCAAGACAATAGAGCGAGCTTGTCAGGAGGTGAGGTTTTGGATCTCGTTTTTTAGTTTCTTGTGTATCTGGGTTACTTTGCTTCCTAAAATATTGATCCTTGCAACCAATCAAGTTAAATTCTTTGGTTTTCCACTTCATTTTCCTTTTAATTGACTGTGAGAAAGTCAAATGATTTCTTAATTTAATATGAACTCTGCAATATGTTTTTTATTTTAGGAACTGCAAATGCGACGATAACAATTCATCCTCTCTCTTGATTTTGGCCTTCAATTTGCATTAGTCTGAATGTTCATATATTACAATTAAATTAAGCGTTAATCTGAAATATTGCAGGTTTTGGGGTATTCTGATACTGACGTTGCTGAATATCTATATAAATCCAAGCCTGACATTGATTCATTGGTTAATTATCTATGCAAAGACCTTACTAAAGCATGCAGTACCAAGCCTCCCAGAGTTCCTAAGGTAACTGCTTTCTTGACTTGATATTCAATTCAATTCATTCTTTGCACAATATATCTGTAAGGGATCATCCTATGTTAGTTAATTGAGATATGGGTCAATCTTTGCAACTCTTGTGCTTTTCCGCCAAGTAATTTTATTTTCAACATGAACCGTACGTCTTTGAGGTATGTCAAGTAGAGATTTTAAGATGCTGATCATTACCTTATCCTTCATTTCCTAACTAAGTTTGGCCAGTAGAAAATTAGTCTGAAACTTGTTTTTACACACATGGGGCTCATGTGTAACCAACGATGGTGTCTTTATTCCACAACCTATAAAATCAGGTAGGTAACGTGCTTCAAAGACTTTCTACTAGATATACAGATTTGAGACCCTAATAAGGTTGACGTGGAGATTCATGACTGCTGCCTTGTATGCATGTTAATCTCTAGTCTCTACCACTGATCATAATCACCTTGATTTTTGAGGAGGTCAAGTCATTATGTTACATAGGATACTATAAATCTAGATGCTTGGCTTTGCACAACTTGCTGCATGAGCAAGACGCTTACTTTTGATACTCATGATAATATCTTGTGTGTTCCAGAATAGGACTCCTGGAGAAATTTTTGTGGCCAAGTCAGCTAAAGAAGCTGAAATGGAAAAGATAATGAAATCTATGGAGGTAATTGTCCTTGCATTGCTGAAAATTTTCATATCATACTAATGTGCTGAATTTTGACCTATATTCTGCTTTACCATTCTTCAGGGAATGCCAGGAGCCCCAGGCATGAAAATGTATTCAAGAGATGAATTGATGAATCAAAATTTTGGTGGTGAAGATGCCGATGATGAAGATGATGACGATGAGGACACTCAGATTCCCTCAAAATTGGTAATTACAAAATCTTAAGTCTACAAATTCTCCATTAGAAAACCATATTGTTTCTTTCAGCATTTAAAAGATTTTCTTAAACAGGGAAAAGTTTTGAGAGAAAAAGAAAGCACAAAGAGTGACTTGAAACAGAGGATCACCAACAGAATTTCGAAGACCAGGGAGACACTAAAGAAACATGCAAACCAAGTCTCTAACTGGTTACGGAAAACGTGGAGGGGACTGAAAAAGCCAGCTTCAAAGAAGAGTACAAAGGCCAACAAGGCAGAGCTTTAGAACAAAAAATCACTGAATTATAGTAACTTGTATGAGAGTAATCACGTTTTTGTTAATTGTATCAATATTGTTTTGACATTTAAGTAGGAAGTTGAGGAGAAGTTTTTTTTTTTTGGGGACGAAAATTGCGGAGAAGTTAAAAAGTAGATTTGCTGCCGTTTTGTTATGCCCTTCCAGAATACTCGACAGTTGATTCCATTACCTTATTGCAATTGTATCAACTTCTGCGTGCGATTTTTGCTTCAGTTGGCGTGTTTTCTAACCTCTGAAAAGCAATGGTAGCTACCCAATACTTCTTTTCTTGCTCATATCCTCGTTCGTAATAGCATTACACTTATGATAAAAAATTTAAAGCATATACGCATGCCTGCAATTATTCCAATGAAAATCACTTGCATGCAAACTTTTTACCTCAAGGAAAGAACAGATAAGATTTATAGAATTGCAAATCATCAACTAAAATAAATAAATTCCAAACCTTTTAGCATCAAAATTTGGACATTACAATTTTAAGAAATGAATAATTAAAAGTACAGATGCTACAATGATGCCTCCTTCTAGCACAGATAACCTAAAGGGAGGCAACATTCGAACAGGCTGAACAACAACAATCCACAACACTGAGTTGTTGCAATTATGGATTGCTTTCTCGATGGAACAATAGCATAACTCAACTTAGCGCATTTTGTAATATTGAACCCTCGATACCGTGCATCGTCGGCCATTTAATGAATACTTGAGCATGATATCAATATCACGGGGATTCTTTTTGTTTTGTGCCACAGTCATGCTTCCGACAATGGATTCTCCTTGGCATACTGTTAGCACATCTTCCAAGTACAGGACTGTTTGCTTCCAATGAGTAGACCGTGATCTTGGCCCTGCATTATATTTCAAGTTGTCAGAAAGTTCTGATTACCTCAATTCCATTGTTTGATTGAAACTTGGGTTTGGGGCTTGACTTGAGAACGAATGCCCATATTCTTCTTTTTCCATTTATTTGTTGCTTTAAATGACCATATTTCCAAAACAAACTTTGACCCAGACAACAAATGAATGAAAATAAGAGGTAAAGCATACAGATACTGACCTGTGGAGAAGCCCATCAATTTATGGCATTTTGTAAAAGACACATCAAAGTAGGCTACAAGAGCATGAATGAAATCATCACGTTCAGCAACAAGCTTGAAAGGTGCTGTGAAGGAAGCATCTCCGGGAGTCATCTTAGATATATCCATTGTCTGTATGAAGAAAATTAGAGAATGTTAGTGGACAGAATTGATAGCATAAAAGAGGCCAGACTTATTTCACTTAGTGCAGCAGGGTAATCACTGCATAGATATTTCCCACCTTGAGTAGCTGGCTATTTGTAACAATTTGATTTTGGTCAACTGTGTCCACAAGGGGCTCCATCATGGCTTGCTTCTTGATGCAGCTCATGTCAAAGCCATATACGTTGTTCCAAACTGGAATAGCATGAAAATTGCAAGAGGTAAGAAGCAAAAATTCATAAAGATGAGCTGAAAGATTACATGTACATTTGCATGGCACTAAAGAACATTTGTAGTCCACCTAAGGGACCAAGTCAACAATGATAAACGTGTATACACACAAGAGTTTAAAAGGCTTACATTCTATCTTGTCTTCTTTGTACTCTGCATCCTCGATAGCTGTCAAATAGAGTGAAGCTTTGTCTGGTAGTAAAACTCCATCGTCTACCTACAAACAAGAAAGAAAGAAAAAATCTTTATATAAATAAGCCAAAGCATGATAGATCTTTGACCTGAATGTAACAGAGATTACGCCCTGGCTTTTATATGCAAAGATCAACAAGTAAAATTAACCCATAGGAGCTCAAAACATCACAATTACAATGGATTGTATCCCTCTACAAGGGTCACAGGAACCTAAGCCCCACCCAACCGAATAATTAGTTTGCATAAGGTGTATTTATTCTTGGCATAGATATCACAAACATTAAATATAGGATGTAAATACTACTTACAAGCCATTTATCACGAGCATAGAGGACTGTATTTAACATATTCTCAAACAACAAAAAATATCCCATCCATTCTGAGATAATTATATCCACTTTAGGGACTGGAAGCTCAAGTTCTTCAATCTTTCCCTTCAGAACTGTTATTACTGCATTTATCAAATAACCAATGAGTACACAGAATACTTATTTTGTCAAAGCATTGTCAAGAGACAGAACTACATGCAGGTATGAACTCTGAAAATACTACCATTAGAAAATCCGTTTGCTTCAACAATCTCTTTTGCCATGTCGGCCATGTCTGAGCACTCAACCTGTGGATAAAGCATTTGTCATATCAGTAATATTAAGGAGACATAACCAAGCTACATTACAAAATAAGAAAAATACCATGCATTACTAGAAATTGATTTGTTAACAAACTTTCTTTAAGAAAAACATACCGCATACACATGCTGTGCACCAGCTTTTGCACAAAATAGGGACAAAATTCCAGTCCCAGCTCCCACATCAAGAACAATCTTGTCCTTAAACAGAAACTGGTTCTGATAAATAACATTTTGATATGTCTTAGTCCTCACTACATCCTTCAACATTTCCTGAAAGATGACAATAGTCAGGGAGCATCCAATGGGTATTAGCAAGAGGTTACAAGAACGAAATGCAGAACTGGGTTGTATCCAAGTGCCACACACTTACTTCATGGATGCCTGCAATCACACAAAACACAAATTAAGCCTTTTGTAGCAAGTGCTCATCGAAACAAAACAAGAAAGATTTTATAATATATAAAAAAAATGCAACTATCACAATATGCAATCAATTAAAGCATCAAAATTTTGTGATATCGCTCTATTACTTTCTGCCATTGCACTCAAACTAAAGCTCCCAATCAACTAAAACTAGTACAACAGTCTAACTTAGAAAACAAAAATGCAACCAAGTTCGAAACTTTCCAAACCCACACCCAAAAATCAATCATCCAAACAAAAACTTTCCCTTTTTTCAAATCCCTTTTGTCTCAGTTTTCACAGCATCCAAAGAGAAACCCAAAACAAAAGGGCAAGCAACAACCAGTAAACGAAGGAGAAAGGAAGCTACCGAAGTGAGAGTAGGAGTCGAAGTAATAGTCGGCGCTGGTCTTATCATCGGCGGCGATGAAAGAGACCTCAGGCTCGCCCATGGAGTCATCAACGGCCTTGTCAAGCTCGGGGTCGCACATGGACTCGTCGTGGTTGGCGCTCCCGGAGGCGTCTTTGAGAGCTTCGTCTTCGTCTTCCTTGTCTGCGAAGCGAATCTTGGAGCCTTGGGGCAAGTGGCTGAAGCCAGCTGAGCTCTGATTGCTGTTGTTGTTCTTTCGGCGACCCATTGACAGCGATTTTTAGGGTTTTGCGAGGGGTTTTTGGGTACTTAATGGCTCGTAGTTTTTGAGACACCGTGTTTTTTAAAGTTTAAAGCTTTTGTTTAAAATTAGTAAAGTGGGGCCGTTGGAAGTCGTTTTCCACTTCAAGTGGAAGGGTCGTCGTTTTGCTTGCCGACGCGGGAGAGAGAGAGCCCAAGGTCCATGATGCGGAAACCAAACGACGGCGTTTCTAGTTTACTTGAAACTGACTTCTTTGTTTTTTTTTCTTTTTTTAATCGTCTCGCTCTCTTTAACAAGACATTACCATACAATTTCTTTGTTTGACCTTGAAAAATATGTGATTAATAATAACACAGCATTGCCCTTTCTTTTCATCATGGAGGAAAAATTACTAGAATTTTTTAGCTTTGGAATTCTTCTATTGTTTAGTGAAGAAAATAAACATTTGAAAGTATAATGAAAAAATGTGGAGATGATAGCTACGAGAACAAATAAATCTGACCGCATATATAGTTAAAAGTTTACAACAATATTTCACAGCGGATGCTGCGCTATTCTATCTCTTTTTTTTTGGAGAGAGATTCTATATTATTCTTTATGCCATGACAAATAGCAGAATCCATTATGGATACGATTGTTCTATCAGCCCTTTCCGGTAGAAGCTTTATCAAGTGGCCACGGTGCTCCCGCCATTACTGCTTCGATCTCTGATATTTCCCGAGGAACCTTTGTCATGTTCTTACAACCGGTATCCGTGACAAGCTACAACAACCAGAATAATGTATAACCATACATCAACCATATAAAGAAAACGAGATATACGTGAACCAGACGCAACACAGCTGAAGAGAGTTGAGCAAAATGTACAGTTTCAGTGGCATGTTATTATTTCATATAACCACAATGCGAATGCGACCAAGTGGACAAGGAACACAGGTCAAAAATCAGTAAAAGGAATCATAGGGTTCAGAAGATGGGATGTACCACATCGCTTTCAATGCGAACTCCACCAAAACCTTTAAATCTACTAACTGCTTCGTGATTGAAGAACTTAGTAGTATTTGAACTTCCCAAGGCTGGAACCAACAAAGCATCAATGAAGTAGCAACCAGGCTCCACGGTTATCACCTACAAAACAATCCCCAAAGACAAACTATCAAATGCAAAAGAATTATTTTAACCAGCGTTCAGGAAAAAAAAAATTCAGAACATTAGTGAAAGGGTTTGATCTATAAATCAATACTAACCATTCCCTCTTGGAGTTCTCTTGCTGTACGTAGAGACCTTAATCCAGGTTCTTTTGGCCTCTCCAAACCCTGCAAATTATGCAGTTGTTCCAAGTTCCATCAAGGAAAAATGCCAAAAATTATTTAAAAAGGAATTCTGAAAGATAAACTAGAAAGGAGAGCATAAACTTGTTCATAATAACCTTTGGGTAGCCACCAGGATCATGAGTGTCGATACCAAGCAAATGCCCAAGACCATGAGGCATGAAAACAGCACCCAATCGATCAACCATCATATCATCAACGTTGCTAGAACCAAGAGCAATGAGCAGCTTAAGTAAATTTATAATTCCAAAACTACACACAACTTGCAAGTAAGTATACTAGAGTACATAATTGAGATACAATGGTTTTTACCCAACTAGGATGCTCCCTGTCTTCAATGATTCAAGAATAACCTTTTCTGCTAGTCTGTAAATAATGAGGCAAAGAGAATCAGAATGCACATAATATTAGCAAACGCCTTAATCTTTTGTTTACAGAAAACAGTCAGGATTGAATCATACTTATGCATATCAACCCAGCTTACTCCGGGTTTCATTGTAGATATGACAGCATTGTGAGCTTCAAGGACAGCCTGCAGAAAACAAGACAATTTTAAACAAAAAGTACATATCTACTACAAAATGCTAGAAAATGTTAAACACAGAAATATGATTCTTGTGGCAGGCCTGCATACCAGCCTGGAGTGACAAGCACACATACATACAGGAGTGTGCGCTCGTCCACTGATAGAGAGAGCAAGAATTGAAGATATGATCTATGCCGTAATACTAATGCACTTACATTATATATAAGTGCTTGGTCAGAGCTAAACTTTCCATTCACCTGCAGATAAGGTTGAAAGAATTCTGAGAAAGCTTAGGGAAAAGTGAAACAAATAGGCATTGTACCACAAGAAGAGTCTCCTGCATACTACTATTTATTACCATGCAGTCCATGGTTTAGTAAACCTTAACCCTAGCTAAACTTAATTGCAAACAAAACTATGCATACTCACTGGGTAAGAACAAGTGATGTCAGACCCATAAAAATTGTATTCAGCTCCCATATCAAGCAATGCCAAATCTCCATCTTCCAAGGTCTGCACAAAAGATGTTATGAATTTTCGCTAATTTTCATTATGTAACAAAGTACTTAGCATGTAAGTATATTGTACCCTGTCATTTGGAGCTGCTGCATGTCCATAATGGAGAACACTGCTGTATTTTCGAAACAATAGAAATTTTAGCCAATAGCTTACAGTTGAGATTAACGTCGATATCGATACATTCATACCTCCAATGAAATCAAAAGGAAATCTTAATTGAGCAGATTATTCTATTGACTCATGGCTTAATTAAGAAAAGTTTACCTATTTTCACCAGTAGCACAAATACAAGTGTACGAGCAATGTCTACAACCACCATACATGTAGGTGTGGTGAAGAAACATGCTTTCCAGCTGATACTCGTACATGCCCACCCTAACTTTTCTCATGACCTGGTCAGAAAGAAAAATAGCAATCATGACTAAGAAAAAAAACATTCAAGGTCTGAAACATTTCTAAAGATCTAATAAGGATCAGTCCAAAATCAAGATTTCGAAGGGCAGAAAGTTCATCCAACAGTGAAATAACTGATCCATTTCTGAGCTGCTTCTTGTCATTAGACATGCATAAAGTGAGGATGACATGCAGAATTTGTGTTAAAAGTACATTTATTTCTTATAATATGTATATGATGTTTGGTAACACATATGGGCAATGGAACATCTTCATAGAAACTTACCTCAACATGAGCTTCAGAGCTGATATCATTGGCAAACTGGATAAGGGAAAGCTCCAGATCTGATTTTGTGACACGGCATTCAGTCAAAACCGGATGCAAGGTAGTCAAATCTGTGTCAAACTTATCAATCCCCTAAAAAAAGATTAAGAATTTATATTCAGTATAACATTCCGCTTAAAGAAAAATGTGTCTAAAACAGAGAATGCAATAAGTCATTACTTTATTGTTTTTATAATTTATTCATCTAGTCAACTAACACCTATCATTCCCCAACTCCAGCTTTAACCACCTGAACAAGAACTGATGCAGCAAATCCTATTCTGAAGGTATCTATAACTGATATGAGATAAACAGGGAGCATGAGATTTATTAACCTGAAACTCTGCTGGTTTTGAGAATAGATCACTATCAGTGTTGACCCCATGCAAGAGAAACAATAAAGGTTTACCAGATCCCTGGTATTCATCATGCAGAACAGTTGTGATCTCATCAGTGTAGTATACCGAGCTAACCATATATCTTTCCTGCAAATGAATAACATAAATGTGAGCTAATGAATAACGACTGCATCGTATGTTTACAGAGAAATGTATTAAGCCGTCAATCACCTTGAAGTAGGATAAAGGCTTGATCTCTCCCAACCAAACAGCATACTCAGCGGGTAACCTAGGAGCAAAGAGAACAGATTTCCCAGTTGCAATGTCCTTAAGGAAAAAGCATACAAAAAGATCAGCCCACAAGAAGAACAATGCGTTACATGTAACCCATGAGAGCTAAAACCGAAAAAAAAACACCGAATAAAAAACAAATTTGCATTCAAGAACAACCCCAGTGTCCTACTTCCATGTACTTACGATAGCTCCATAGAAGCCAGGCTCTCTTACTCCAAACAAGTAAGCGAAGAAACTCTCTTGCCTGTAAACGAAAATTCGACAGCAATCAGAAACTAAATAAATAAATCATCCATTGATGCAAACCAATTATTGCAGTCACAACAACCAACAGTTGCCAAACACCTTTCATAGCATAATATACAAATCATACTCTGAACTATGATACTTCTTAACCGAGTCTAATTAAGTGGCAATTTTTTTTTTTAAAACGAACGTAAAAGCGAAAGCTAAATTGGAAATTCCAATGGTCATTTTTACATACTGGTACTTCATACAATTGAACAATACCTAAACATACATAAACCGAAAGCTAAATTGAATATCAACAATAATATGATCAACAACGTAATTATTTCAACTATGCACCTGAAGAGCTCGGTGTGATCAGTGTCATAGCGATTTTGCTCCTCGCCTCCCTAAAAACAACCAGTCAAAAACCAGTTGCGAAAAACCAAAGCTCAATTTTTTTTCTTCTTTTTTTATGAAAATACATTGAATCAAAATCAGCGAGAAGAAAGTGGATTACTTGGAGAAAGACGAAGCCATGGATGGGGCGAGACGACTGAGAGAAGTTATGGCGAAGAGAACTGAGGAGCTTTTCGCGGTTGGTGACGTAGAGCTCCACCGGGACTGTAGGAGGAGTGAGAGACGACAGCGAAGCCATGGAAATGGCTTCTTTTTCCAGGAACCAAGAAACCAACGTACTGACGTACATATATGATTGGATCGAAGCCCACATTTTTGGGCCTTAAATTATGCTCATACCAAGCCCATTTAATCTTATGAATATTTTGGGCCAGTCCTATGAATAAATAATTAAATCGATTTTTTGTTGTTGTTATTATTATTGTTTTAAATACAAGCGATATCAAGGTTTTATGGGGGTTCGAATCTAAAACCACTTGTTTGCAAATCAAGATCATTTTCACTAAGCTAGACCCGATTCTTTTTTTTTTCTTTTTTTTGGTTCTGAACATCATTGTAACTTTTAACATATGACTCATTGCAATTATTTTTTTGTTCATAACGTCACGATGATCTATTGATTACAAATTGAGAAAGAAAGAAAATTTAAGGACCATAGCTAGTGAAGAAATTGTAAGTATATATGCGCATGTGGGCATGT